CCAGTCCGCTAAGAATATAATTCTTGCATAAAAAATCGGAATGCTTCCACGCTTCAATCACGATAAAGCGTTCATTCTCTGGAGTTTTATCTGGCTAATCAGGAACATCTTCCTTGATGAACTTCTGTAGACATAACATAGTTAAGTAGAAGAACATCTTCTGCTGCCAGCGCTTGAAATCAATCCCGAAAAATTTTCCGGGTTTTTCTGCCGGTGCCAACGCCGGTGTTCAACTTGTCGATGCGTTGGCAGTCACCGTCGGAACAGCTTGGTTTTCGCTTTCAGCCGTCATTTTTTCTGTAAAAGAACGACACAAACAAACGTTTAATAATCGTTTTCAAACTGGAGTAAAAATCACGTAGATTTTAATCTCCAACAAAACGCCACGAAAGCTTTACTCTCCAAAACGGGAGTACACAAAAACTCAAAGGTTTTATTTTGCAGAATAATAAGAATAACACAAATACAAAAATAAATATTAAATTCCTTAAGATTGTTATTCCCGCCAATATTGCTGTATTTGTAAATAATAATTCTGGGAAATCCGAAGCCAAAGCCGAGCCGAGCGATGACAACGACGGCGCGAGGCTTGCTTTCTTCTTAACTCTTTAAGAGCTACAAGAAGAGCAATTATATATATACCCACCAAAAATCTTTTCCTCTTCCAATATGGGACAATGTCTCATTGTCAAGAGGGAGAAACTTAAAATTTTACTCAAAAATTCCATTTTCCCTCTATTTTTCATTCACCCTCATTTTAAGACTATTTCATCTTAAATAACAAAAACCTCAACAGAAACATGATATCCATTTGCAAGATATATAGTTTATAAAAATTAAAAACTACTCTTATATCATATAAATAAAAATGCACTAAAAATGTTGAGCAACTATTCATTTCATGAAATTATTACCTTTGCTGAGCGAATATTAGACATTTGTAATCCTCAAGAAAAGCATTAAAGCCTAAAGAATAACAAAATACTGCACAGTTATAACTAAAATGACCAAAATATCTGCAGAGGATAAGCAGGCATGCTGACGGGCAACTTCATAAAAAACGACGAAATGGAAGGTGCTTACCACTAGAGCAACCCATTCATGTCAAATTACATTACTAAATTCAATTTGGAATATATTTCTACCCTTTAAAATTATCATATGACTGATGGAAATCATCAAAGAGAAGTTTAAGTATGTAATCTCATGAATAAGTGCCCCTCGAAGTTTAAAATGAAGCGATCACTATTTCAAATGTAAACTGAGGAAGAAAATTTAGGCAGAACAGATGTACTCTTTGAAGTCCAAAGCAAGTAGTGGACCGTCTGCTATCGGGACAGCCAGCCCTGTCGGCTCGGCCGGCCCCAATCGCAAGGCCAGATCCAGATCCCCCATAGCCTGTTCAGCATGAGGAATGGCTGGGGGAGCATCACGATTTCCTTGATCCATTCTCAAGATCTCAGCCCCCTCTCCCCCACCAAAACAACAAATTCTTTGCGAAGGTAAAAAAATTTCCATCCCGCCAGAGTACATGTAAATAACCAGCAGCAATAGCAGAAAAGGGCTACATCAGTAATTCCAATCTATTACAAGTTAAGAAGCTCAATAAATGAATCAAAATAATAAAAGTGATACACATTTTTGTAGCAGTCATCATTAGTTGAAAATTTAAAGTCAGCAAAACTTAGAATTTAGTCATAGGATCTTTTATGAAAACTTCAGATCTTCCCATATGGTGAACAAGAAAGGTTTCTTCCTGCAAAGTTATGCATGTCAGCTGAGCATTTTCTTATTTGATCAGAGAAAATGACTTACTTGTCATCCATAAATATAGCCTGTTGAAATTTCTTGGTTTGATTGGTGGTGTATTTAACTATCCCACAGTTTGTGGCCACTGGCAGCATATCTGTTGTTATAAATAACAGAAGAAATGTTGTTAAAACCAGTGGTTAGTTTGGCAACCAAGCTTTATTTAATCTGTGAGTCCTCTCTCACTTTTTCTCAGTCCCTTTGAGCTCTCAAATCTTAATTCATATTCCTAAAGCCAGCAATAACAACAATAACTATCCTCGCTCTCAAGCTAGTCGAATCAGCGATATGAATCTTCATTCCGTTTGAACACCTCTTATCCCTTAATCAACAACAATAACAATAAATATCCTTATTCCGAAGCTAGTCGGGTCGACTATATGAATCTCCACTCCGTTTGAACGCCTCTTTTCCTTAAGACAAGAAAAATTGCAGACAAGAAAAATTGCTGAACCTAAAATTCACCATTAGTA